AAATCATGCAGTGCCCGCAAGGTCCCCCTGCTCAAGAAGGCACATGTACAGGCCCGTCTGAACATCTAAATGATTCAGAGAAGGCTTGGGAGAAAGTGCTGTGGTCAGATGAAACCAAAATGGAGCTCCTAAGCATAAACTCGACTCGCCGTGTTTGGAGGGAGAGAAATGCTGACTATGACCCCAAGAACACCATCCCTACAGTCAAGCACGGAGGTGGAAACATTATACTTTGGGGCTGCTTTTCTGCTAAGGGTACAGGACGACTTCACCGCATTGAGGGGCAAATGGACGGAGCCATGTACTGTAAAATCTTGAACGAGAACCTCCTTCCCTCAGCCAGAACACTGTGTGTGTGTGTGTATGTGTATATATATGTGTATATATATATACAGTATATATATATTATGTATGTATGTATGTGTGTGTGTGTGTGTGTGTGTGTGTGTGTGTATATATATATATATAAACAGAAAATATATGAAATACCTTATATGTTGGAAGATATATAGGGTCAAGATATTTGTTTATGAGATTTATGAATGAAATTAATCTGTTTTTCATCAGAAAAAAATACTAAAACTGTTGAATTTCTCAAACATCTTTTCACTTCAAACAGGCCAATGAAAACTGGAACACATATTCAAGCGTTCTTGGGCCTCTTCCTAATTGTGTTGGTTATCATTTCACATGATTGTGGTCCTCTGTGGTTTGAGGTATTCTGAGTATAAATACTGTGGCTGGAGAGGTTTAAATGTTGCTTTTGTCGAGGAATTCCTTTGCAGATTGATAGCGATCAAGGAACTCAGCTCTCAGATCTGCTGTGTGACAGCTGAGTATAAAGCAAACATTCTACAAGGGTTTTTGTGTGTGTGTGTGTGTGTGTGTGTAAAATATATCAGATTTCTGAACAAACCTCCACTGTAAAGCCTTGCTCTTGACTCATTTGTGAGCTGCAAACAGGCAATGCAATATGATAAGTTATGTTTGTTGAGTAATTTCTGAGCTTTTTGAAAGGCAATTTATCAGTTGACCACTGTCTGATAAGCCAGACTCAACCAAAAGAGACAACCAGTCAGAAGAAAAAAGACAAGCGCCTACAGCTGCATTTCATGGGTCTTCAATTTCACAAATGTCAATGTCCGATTTGTGATTGATTTAAGCTTAGAAGTAGTTAAAGAATTTTTTCCTCAGGTTATGGTAGTTTCTGTGGCATTTTATGATTTAGGCTACAGCGTTCCCATGGAATACACACATGTAATGTATCAAAACATCAAATCTGCTCTATAAAATCACCATGTTTGCTTATAAGTTCAGCTGCAAGTACTATTAGCCTAATGAACTTTTTAAGGTTAACGTCATGTCTTCAAGCCCTCATTTTTTGAGCTATTTCCTTAAGAACTGAACAGCGTTTTGTACTGTATGTCATGTTCTAGTGAAGTAATTCCCAAGCACAAGTATGTGTAGCCCAGAGGGTTAAGCAGGTTTCAGGATGTGATTTAGACCATTACAAATTACAACCTTAAAATATCAGGACTGTCAATAGAGTACATTGCAATTCATTTTATTTTTTTTGTTGAGTCCCTTTCAGGTTTAGGAAAGTAAATGATATGTGTAAGTTGTGTCAGTTTGTGTGAATGACTGATAGTGGAATATATGTGCACATAGTCTTTATACTTGAATAAAGTATAAAGCTTACAACAGATTGTATGGTTTGTATAGTTTGTACTGGATTCAAAAGGAGGACTGAAAAAGTAGAAATTGATTTTGTGTTGCTCATTTCCATGAAGGGCAGCAAGACAAGTCACTGTGACTTAGCAGTTACTTCCCAGTGATCATGTGATCTGTGCGAATACATTCTTAGAGAAAATGCTGTAAGTATGCAAGTTTTCTTCCAGCTCATTTTGAAAGCATGCAGCTTTTGAAAAACGACCTGTCGCCTGTATGTCACAGGTGAGGTGATTGGTCATTATTATATCCTGTTGTTAACATGCCATACATGCCACACAGAGTACAGTAAATGCCTTCACAGGCAGAGCTGAGATCTGAGATATCAAAGATAAAATACATGTCTGGACAAATACTTTACAGAAGAATGTCTGTGTTAATTCATGTATAACTCTTCATTGATTTTAGGAAGTCATTGTGAATGTCTTGTCACCTCTTACCCTCTGTGTATGATTTAGCTTGTCCTTATTATAACAATAGTCATGGAGTAGTGAGTGTATCTGTGCTGTTCTGCCAATCAGCAGTCCCATTCATGGCTGGCTTACCCTCCCAGCAGCGTCAGCTCTGGGATGAGTGCATTTTAACATTAGGCCAATCTGCAGCCTCAGGAAGAGGCCATATTCCCCAAATCCATCTTTATGTTGAAGGGGCCCAGGATAAGAATGCAGACAGAAGGCAGCATTTTGTGCCTTTGTTACAATAGTCAGATTACTTCGATCTAAACCTTATTTAATAAAAGAGACTAAATTTATACATACAAATTTATATACAACGTGTTGATTGTTGAATCAGTGGCCAGTTTCGTAAATTAAGCCTCTATGTTAAGATAAGTAATAAGTAGTCTGAACAACTAGTAGTTAGCCATGGGGCAATAAGTCTTATTTTTCAGATTCAAATTAGACCAATCTATGTTTTTTGTAACTGAACTAAAAAAGTTATGAGCAATTTTTAAGACAAAAATTAGATGACTAACTTAAAGAAGTAAGACTAATCTAAGCATTTTATGCAGCTGGCCACAGCAGGTCACTCTTTCATTAAAGTTTCAATATGTGAATTTAGAGAAAGCAAAACTCTAATGTTACTGATACCGAGGAACAGAGAGACATATAAGGGCTTGTAGGATATGGGCATGCATGGAATGCTCTTTCATATAATTTCCCACCTGCAAATCCTCTACCGCGCTACTTACTCACATTACTATTAATGTTAATGTTGTAATAAATCAACAAAAATGTTCTTGTTCACATTTTAACTTACTTCAGATAAAGTAACGGCTGTTGTTTTTGTACTTGTTTATATTTAAAGCTATTTTCATGGGCCTGTATTAAGAGGGAAATTAAAAAGGATATTTTTAATTATCATAAATTAATCTAGCGGACTTGGCCCCTTAAATGGGGCAACTTAACATTGTAAAAAGAATGTGATCATTCCAGTTGGGCAAGATGCAGTGCCAAGTCAAAGACTTTGGAAACAAGTTGCTTCATGCAACGGTACACATTACTGACAGTGTTTTGCTCTGTCCTTTACTGTGACCCTGCTATGACCCTTCTGAAGAAACACTGGGACCATGTTTAAATTTGGCCACGCAGTCCATACAGATAATAAATGGATTAGAGAGAAAAATAAGTAATTCTCTTAAAGAAACAAAACCAATCTTTCCGTAACTGCCCCATCTTTCTTTAACAATAAAAGTGTGTAGTTCAGTGAAAATAGTGCCCTTTAATGCTGAGAGCAAAAAAGGTTTTATTTCAGAACTCCCATTGACTAATATTTCAGAGTTAAATAAGTCTGATGTCATAACTACAAAATCCTCTAAGATCGATTTCACCTTCTTTTGATGTAGCCTATTTTATATCTTCTTTGCTTTCCTTTTTTTTCTTATGACTTTATCTTAAAATATAACTTAGAAAGGCTCAATAGGCTACCCAAGGTGAAGAAAATGAGAAATTAAAAAAGTTTTAGCATTGTCTACAAAAATGTTTTCATAAATCTAAAAAGTAATAGAATATAGAATATTTTTCTTAGACCTTGGTTTTTCTTTATTTACAGTTATACCTAGACTTTTTTTTATCACTTGATGAACCACAAATATATCAAAATGATATCTCAATTCAGCAACTGAAAACAATTAACAGCAATTAATAAAGAGAAAGTGCAGAAAAGTAACACTGGACCACAGAGGGTTAAGCATGGATATTTACAATGAGCGCGTCACCAGCGTGCACCGGAAGTAAATCGCAATGGGATGCAGTCAATTTCAAGTTCATGTTGTCCAAAACTTTTCGTCCGATGTCTTGTTTTCTGTATTGATTAAGAGTCAAGAGCGCACAGTGCCATGATGGCACACCGGTATCTGCATCTGTCAAGAGGCTGCAGGAACCTTCTCCACGCTCTGCTGCCAAATGTCAGATCAACAAACCGTGTGCAATCGGTAAATGTGCAGCTTGACTGTATCTCTCTGGATCTTTCATCATCCGGGAACGCATCACCATACGCTACGATCTGATCACGAATACACATTTTGTCATCCGTGTGTCTTGTCTGCTGCAGACTGCGGTGTCACAGACCGGAGAGTTTTGACAGTAAACAAGGGTCGGCCTGTGTGACATTGCGTTGGGTAACGCGTCCAGCTCATGTTATGTCACAGTTCTTCACATTAAACTGTTATACCAAGACAGCGTCCAAAACATCAGTTCGTGCTATTGCTAACTCTGCATTGCTTCTTTGATATTGTAATAATTCTTGTGAACATCGTTATTATAGGTATAAAAAAAAACATTTAGAGCTTATTGGCATTTCACTATCTGTTTTCGTATTATCTGCTGAAAATAGTTACATCATAATTCATAATGAGAAAAGGGCAGGAACCTGTAAGTTCCTCCAACAGCTCCGAGTACTGTCAACAGTCTCTTCAAAAACTAAGGATGACTTTGAGATATATAATATTAATTAGAGGATCCTAGAGATTCTCTAAAGGGCTTCAGTAATCGGAGGAACCAAAATGGTGCCTTGAGTATTTTTATTTCCATTTGTACTGCAGTCTATTTTTCAGCAGTTGTGATTATGTCTGTTCATCGTCTCAATGTATTTGCTTTTGAAGGTCCAGGGTGTTGGGCAAATCGTCCTAGACAGAAGATCCTTGCTCTCTCAGGTCTTGGGCACCTATAGAAGATTAAGCTCCAAACCTCCCAAAGGTGTGAATTACATCAATTATAAAATGACATTGAGTTCTCAAAGCTGGACTGTTCTGCTAATTGCGTTTTATATTCTTGCACTGAAGGATTTGAAAAATACTTCCCTAATAATAAAAACGGTGGTCCAAAAAATGGTGAGCCCAAGTCATCCAACGCAGAGGTCAAAGGTAATATTTCTCATAAGCTTATAATGTGAGCTAATTGCCTTTTGACATACAATATAATCATGTTGTTTTCTGTATGTTTTAACCCAGAGGCCAAACCAACCAATGCTCAGAAGACCACTGGTGGAGGTGGAAGTAGTGGAGGAGGAGGAAAAAGAGGGGGGCGGAAGGATGAATCCAGTTGGTACAGCCGTCTCCAAAAGGTTAAACGCTGTCTAGTAATTACTATTGGTAATACTAGGCTTATTATAACATTTAAAGCTTGTTTACTACTGTTTACTGAGGCAGATGTAATGATACATCATATGTCACCAGAGAGAACTCTTGACATTTAATTGGAAGATCAAGGGTAACATTTTGCTAAAAAATTAAAAGGTCAAAAAAATATTTAATGCATTAAAAAAAAAACTATGCATGGATGAATTGTTCACAATAAGATCAGTACATTGCACAATAACACGCCCTAATTTCTCTGTCATTTCATGCAGGGTGATGTGCCGTGGGATGATAAAGAGTTCCGTATGTATTTCCTGTGTGGAACGGCCTTCTGGACAGCCGTCACATATTATTTCTTCTTCCGAGATGGAGGAAGAGAGGTCACCTGGAAAGACTTTGTAAATGGTTACCTTGCTAAAGGAGTGGTAAGTAATTACTTATATTTGATCTGTATTTTCAATCAATGTTGTTTGACGTTTCTTTTCACCTACACTTGAACTTTGATCCATGAAGTTATGTATTTTATCTTTGCTAGGTTGACAGGTTGGAGGTTATAAACAAGCGATATGTAAAAGTCATCTTTACCCCTGGTAAAACTCCAGTTGACGGGGTGAGTTCTTTACAATGATTTGATACAGTTATGATTATTATTTTTAGATAGTCATTGGTAACCAAGCCAGCGATCTTATAATTAAACAGATTATCCATTAGCCAGGTCAGACTATCAGTCTGGCACAGACTACCATCCAAAAGTTCAGGGTCAGTAAGATATATATTTTTGAGAAATTAATACTTTTATTCAGCATTAAATTGATTGAAATCCAGAGCAAAGACATTTTTTTTACATGCCATTTCTATTTCAAATATACTGTTCTTTTGAAATTTTATCAAAGTATCTTGAAAAAAAATATATCATGGTTTCCACAAAAAATATTAAACGGCACAACTGTTTTCAACATTGATGATAATAAGAAATGTTTCGTGAGCACCAAATCAGAATATTAGAATGATTTTTGAAGGACCATATGACACTGAAGACTGGAGTAATGATTGCTGAAAATTCAGCTTCGCATCACAGGAATAAATTGCAATTGAAAAAATATTCAAATAGAAAACAAATTTTACTGTTTTTTTCTGTATCTTTGAACAAATAAATGCAGCTTTGATGAACATAAAATAAAAAAATAAAAATCAGTTATTTAGTATCATTTTGCCAGAAATTTTTTTTGAATTTTTATCATATGTTAATGTAAAAAATCTTGTGTAATATAACTTGTGTTTGTTTGTTTGATAGTTTTTATTGCATTTGTTATACTTGTATTTTTTTAATTGTTTTTGCCATGAAAATAGCCTAAGATGCTGACATGGCATTAAATAAAAATATACAACTACTACATTAAAAAAATCACCGACCCCAAACCTTTGAGTGGTAGTATATGTACAGTGTTTTTTTCTTTTGTCTCTAAAAACTATGCATATTAATGACACACAATGAACTGTGATCCTTTCTCCAAGCAGCAATATGTGTGGTTCAACATCGGCAGTGTGGACACATTTGAGCGAAACCTGGAAACTGCTCAGCTAGAGCTGGGCATTGAAGGAGAGAACAGACTGCCAGTCGTCTACTCCACTGAAAGTGATGGGTGAGATATTGACGTAAATTTGCAATAAATTTAGTAAAGGAAAAGAAAAGTATCATCAATCAAACAAGGAACTTTAAATGCTGTGCATATTTGTTTCTTAATTTTAGTCTTATTCTTCTGTCATTTCCAGGTCGTTCCTCTTTAGCATGTTGCCCACTGTTTTGATCATTGGGTTCTTACTGTTCATGCTGAGGAGAGGGCCAGCCGGGGCAGGGAGGCCAGGGAGGGGAATGGGTGGGCTCTTCAGCGTCAGCGAGACCACTGCCAAAGTACTACGAGACGAGATCGATGTCAAATTCAAGGATGTGGCGGGCTGTGAGGAGGCCAAATTGGAGATCATGGAGTTTGTAAACTTTCTTAAGAACCCAAAGCAGTACCAGGATTTGGGTGCCAAGATTCCAAAGGTAGCGCAAGACTTTTACATAACATTACATAATGGGTTTGTAATTTAGTAAGTCAACTTAGATTTCAACAGAGGGTTTAATCTACTTGTTTAGGGGGCTATTTTGACCGGACCCCCGGGCACAGGAAAGACTTTACTAGCCAAGGCCACTGCGGGAGAGGCCAATGTCCCCTTCATCACTGTGAATGGATCAGAGTTCTTAGAGATGTTTGTGGGGGTTGGGCCAGCCAGGGTAAGTACATTTTCTGTATCCTATTATGAGCTTCATGGTGTTCAGTATGCTTTCCAACAAACTTCGTTCACAGTGTGACTAAAACACTATCATTTTGGGTAGGTTCGGGATCTCTTTGTATTGGCCCGGAAGAATGCACCTTGCATTCTCTTCATAGACGAGATCGATGCTGTAGGAAGAAAGAGAGGCAGAGGCAACTTCGGCGGACAGAGTGAACAAGAGAACACACTCAACCAGTTACTAGTTGAGATGGATGGTTTGTATCTAGAAGACCGTAGTTTCCAAGATTAGATCCACGATTTTTTTTAAATTTCATTGTAATTTTTAGATTGCTTTATAATTTCATTAAAATTTCTTGTAATAAAAATGAGCATTTTATTGGTCTCAAACTCTAGATCCTTCAGGTGTCAGATCATCAAACAGTATTTAATGTTAGTATTAAAAATGATGTAATGTAATTATATATGCAAATTTATATCCCTTTCTCTCATTTGTAGGATTTAACACGGCTACCAATGTTGTAGTGCTGGCAGGCACCAACAGACCAGATATTCTAGATCCAGCTCTGATGAGGCCCGGACGCTTTGATAGACAGATATATATCGGTAAGGGTTTGTCATCACCAGCCCATTTTTTATTTGTATTTTTTTTTTAATAGTTAATTACAAATTTTATCCTTTAAATTGTTGGGGAACTTTAATCACAGGCTATTTAAAAGCTGCATTTCTTTTTCCTGTCAGCAATGTGTTCAATGTTTTAAAAGTATACACTACCATTCGAGTGTCTGGGGTCGTTAAGATTTTTTAAATGTTTTTGAAAAGTCTCTTATGCTGACCAAGGCGGCATTTAATAAATCAAATATACAATAAAACAGCAAAAATGTTAAATATTATTACAAATAGAAACAAATGATTTCTGTTTAATATATATATTAAAATGTAATTTATTCCTGTGATAGCAAAGCTGAATTTTCAGCATCATTACTCTAGTCTTCAATGTCACATGATTCTTCAGAAATCATTCTAATATGCTGATTTTGTGCTTAAAGGGGTCATATGATGCGATTTCAATTTTTCCTTTCTCTTTGAAGTGTTACAAGCTCTTGGTGCATAAAGAAGATCTGTAAAGTTGCCAAGACTAAAGAGATATTCTTTATAAAAGTACATTGTGGGAAAATTTGCATAACGCCGCCCAAATGTTCGCACAAAGAAAGAAGGCGTAACTTTTATTCTCGCTGTAGTATTGTTGCTGCCGCCGCCGCCATGTCGTGAAGACGCTGTGTGTTTCGTATCATTATAATCTGTAATTATGTCCCCACAGGATTTGCATCACAGTATGGTAAGGGGCGTAACATTTCCGTCACACGCTTGAGGAATTCGGCCAATCAGAGCACACCTCACTTTTCAGACCGATGAGCTTTGTAAAAATCGACGCGTTTCAGAAAGGCGGGCCATAAAGGAGAAACAATAATGTACAGTATGTGGATAATAATGTGTTTTTAGAACCTTAAACCGCATAAACACATTTCATTACACCAAATAATGTTCTTTTTAGCAGCATCATATGACCCCTTTAACAAACATTTTATATCATCAATGTTAAGAACAGTTGTGCTGCTTTATATTTTTATGGAAACTGTGATTTATTATTATTTTTAGGATTCTTTGATAAATAGAAAGTTCAAAAGAACTGCGTTTATTTGAAATATTTTGTAACATTATAAATGTTTCTACTGTCACTTTTGATCAATTTAATTCATCCTTGCTGAATAAAAATAATAATTTCTTACCCCTAACATTTAAACTGTAATTTAAGTTCATGTGTATTTTGTATATTGCAGGGCTACCAGATATCAAAGGCAGAGCCTCTATATTCAAAGTCCATCTGAGACCACTAAAGTTGGATGCAGAGTTGGACAAAGAATCTCTGGCAAGGAAAATGGCTGCTCTAACACCTGGTTTTTCAGGCATGTAAAGACTTTTTATACATTTGAGTTTCAAAAGTTGTTTGAGATGTGAACTAAGTTTCCCTGCTTACTGATTTCTCTCTAACAGGTGCGGACATCGCTAATGTGTGCAACGAGGCTGCGTTAATTGCAGCCCGCCACCTTTCTGATGCCATCAACCAAAAACACTTTGAGCAAGCCATCGAACGAGTCATTGGGGGTAAGTGACAGATGTGAAATTTGAAAATCTCACTTTAATTTTTTTCTTAAACATATTTATAGCAAACTGTGATATTAATCTATTAGAGTGCATGCATAGTTTTGGTGTGAAGTACAGATAGCTCAGAAGTAATCTCGCTGCATGTTTAGGTCTTGAGAAGAAGACGCAGGTGCTGCAGCCAGATGAGAAGAAGACAGTGGCTTACCATGAGGCTGGTCATGCTGTAGCCGGCTGGTTCCTTGAGCACGCCGACCCTCTGCTAAAAGTAAAACTCACACTTCTTCACCTGTACAGTAATACTTTGCTTTTTCAGTGTACTCGGTCATATCATTGGTCGTTTCAGGTGTCCATCATCCCGCGTGGGAAGGGTTTGGGCTATGCCCAGTATTTGCATAAAGAGCAGTACCTGTACACCAAGGAGCAGCTGCTGGACAGGATGTGTATGACGCTGGGTGGACGTGTGTCTGAGGAGATCTTTTTTGGCCGCATTACCACAGGGGCACAAGATGACCTGAAGAAAGTAACACAGAGTGCTTATGCACAGGTCGGTCATATATTTATATGATTTGACCATTGCCCGTATCATTGGTGGTTCATACATAGTAAATGGATGATTTCTGACAATTTGATTGTCATTTGATAGGATTTTACTTTAATTTTAAGTTGTGCTGTTTCGGAAAATGGACAAAAAAATAGATTGTTATATATTGTTTTGTTTTCTTAAGAATGAACAGAAAGCATTTTGAGAGGATAAGAAGTACACACTGCTGGTCAAAAGTTTGGAATAATGAATACATTGTTTAATTTTGTCTGTGCTATGGGCAATGTGCCGACATATGGCACGGTTGCACATCAGGTGTCCTGAGTTCGAATCCCACCTTGTGGACCTTTCCCAATCCCATCTCCCTCTCTCTTTCCCACTCGCTTTCTGTCAAATCTCCATTGTCCTGTCAGAAAACATGCAAAAATGCAACAACAAAAAAAGCCTTAATTGTTTTGAATAATTATTGAATAATTTTATTATTTAATAATTAAAACATTTCTTATTATCGGTGTTGAAAAAGTTTTTTTTTCTGCTTAAAGGATTAGTTCACTTTCAAATTAAAATTTCCTGATAATTTACTCACCCCCATGTCATCCAAGATGTTTACGTTCGCCGCTCACTCTAGCCTGCTGTGTGTGACGCTGTGTGCATTGTTGTGAAAGCCAAACTACTTTGTTTGGCCTTCCAAAAGAGGACACGACTAGAAATCAGATAAACAAATGCGCGCCTTGCACTGCTCTGCGATGCGCGTCCATGACTTCACGTAATTACGTAATTATGTTGAAAAGGTCACGCTTGACTTAGGCGGAAGTTAGGTTTCAAAAGATTTAAACATCCAGGATATGCACACGAAGTGACCATTTTAAATGATAAACTGACACAAAGACATTTGAATATATGTCATTGAACATACAACTTTTGAACGGTCCTTCTTCTCCACATTTGTAAACACTGAGTCGGTACTTCCGCCTACGTCAAGCGTGTCAAAGTAATTACGTATTACGTGAAGTCATGGACGCGCATCGCAATTTTTGTTTATAAAGCATATACTTTATTTTTTAGAAAATGACCGATCGTTTTTCTAGATAAGACCCTTATTCCTCGTCTGGTATAGTGTAGAGCCCTTTGAAGCTGCACTGAAACTTTTTGACCTTCAACCATTTGGTAGCCGTTGAAGTCCATTATAAGGAGAATAATCCTGGAATGTTTTCATCAAAAACCTTAATTTCTTTTCGACTGAAGAAAGAAAGACGTAAACATCTTGGATGACATGGGGGTGAGTAAATTATAAGGAAATTTTAATTTGAAAGTGAACTAATCCTTTAAAGGGGTCATATGATGCAATTTTCAATTTTTCCTTTCTCTTTGGAGTGTTACAAGCTCTTGGTGCATAAAGAAGATCTGTAAAGTTGCAAAGACTAAAGTCTCAAATCCAAAGAGATATTCTTTATAAAAGTTAAGAGTCAACCACGCCTACCTAAAACGGCTCGTTCTAACACGCCCCCACATGTCTACGTCACAATGTGGGAAGATTTGCATAACACCGCCCAAATGTGCACGCAAAGAAAGAAAGCGTGGTTTCAGGAACAGCAGTCGTCACACGCTTGAGGAATTCGGCCAATCACAATGCACTGGATAGCTGGCCAATCAGAGCACACCTTGCTTTTCAGACCGATGAGCTTTGTAAAAATTGACGAGTTTCAGAAAGGCAGGGCATAGAGGAGAAACAATAATGTACAGTATGTGGAAAATAATGTTTTTTGAACCTTAAACCGCATAAACACATTTCATTACATCAAATACACAAAATAATGTTCTTTTTAGCAACATCATATGACCCCTTTAATATTTTTGTGAAAACTGAGTACCTACCATTCAAGAAAATATTCAACAAGAATGCATTCAATTAATTAAAAGCGACGGTAAAGATATTTATAATGTTACAAAATATTTATATTTCAAACTTTTGTGACTTCAGCAGGTATCGCTTAATATTACACCTAAATGTATATTTTGTTTTTTAAAATAATAATAAAAATAAGAAATGTTTCTTGAGCACCAAATCAGCATATTACAATGATTTCTGAAGGATCATGTGACACTGAAGACTGGAGTAATGATGCTGAGTGTACTGTGTATATCTATTATGTAAACAAACTTTTATTTTGAATCGATTAATCGCGACTAATCATTTTGCAGCCCTATTTCCATCACAGGAATAAATTTTATTTTTAAATATATTAAAATAGAAAACAGTTATACATATATTTAATTACTGTATTTTTTTACCTATTACATCCATAATATAATCCACAGACCCCAGCTGAAAACTGTTACTCTTCCATCTACAGATTGTGCAGTTTGGCATGAATGAAAAGGTAGGGCAGGTGTCTTTCGACCTGCCACGGCAGGGAGAGATGGTTTTGGAGAAGCCCTACAGCGAGGCCACGGCACCTATTACATCCATAATATAATCCACAGACCCCAGCTGAAAACTGTTACTTTTCCATCTACAGATTGTGCAGTTTGGCATGAATGAAAAGGTAGGGCAGGTGTCTTTCGACCTGCCACGGCAGGGAGAGATGGTTTTGGAGAAGCCCTACAGCGAGGCCACGGCACGCCTCATTGACACAGAGGTCAGAAACCTCATCAACACGGCCTATCAGCGCACACAGCAGCTGCTAAATGAGAAGAAGGCTGAGGTGGAGAAGGTACAGCAGGCCACTATCAGGATCAATGCGTTTTACATTGATTTGTTTTCATCATCATGCCACATGAATTGTGTGTACAGAAAACAACTGGGAAACATAACAGTAATGCTCTCTTTTTACCACTAGGTGGCAATACGTCTACTGGAGAAAGAGGTGCTGGATAAGAATGACATGGTGGAGCTGCTGGGCAGAAGGCCGTTTGCTGAAAAGTCAACTTATGAAGAGTTTGTGGAGGGAACGGGAAGCATGGACGAGGACACATCGCTGCCGGAGGGCCTGAAGGACTGGAACAAGGAGCGCGGCAGCGAGAACGAGGAGAGTACGGAGGAGCAGGTGGCCCGACAGATCACTGGTGGTATGCCCTTCTGAGGACACCCGTTCACCATGACCCTGGAGGGTCCAGAGCATTTATTTAAGAGATGGGAAACACTTGCCTGACGGACACTGAGGCAAGTACCCTGTTCTTCAGAAGAGCTGCAGCTAGGCGTTGGACTTATTTTGTGTACAGTAGGGTGTTTATGAAATATAAACTTTCTTGTGCTGAAGTTTATTGTGTTTCAGCAAAATTGAAAGGATCAGGAGATCTTCTGTTGAAGATGAAGTGTATTTTATGTGACACATCAGCGCTTTGCCAGAAAATCTGTTTAACTTAAGGCAAAAGCACTGTAGCTTGTCAAGAAAGATTCTCTCTAGTCACTTCAATTTTACCTATCAATGACCAAGAAGACATACAAAAAAAATCTCTCTCTCTCTCTCTCTCTCTCTCTCTATATATATATATATATATATATATATATATATACAGTGGTGTAGTGGTGCCTGGAGAAGTGGGTATACTCTTAATTTATGCCCCATGAGAGATCATGATTCTCCTACAGATAACTAAACAAAATAGCTTGTCTACTAGAGGTTCTGACGAAATGTTAATTGTTGCAGTCTGTAATTTTTTACATTTTAATTATTTATTGCAAAATCTGCACCTTTTGTGGCTAATATTAATTACCTTAATAAGATCCTTACTCCAGTAAGTCAAGTAGCAGAAGTTACAGAAAGTGAAAATACTATTGGCCCATTTTGGGGCGAACTAAATATGCAAGACTAGTCTTGACTCTTACATGTCACGGTTTATAACACAGGCCGTTGCTTGGCCGCTTAAAAAAAATGGAGGCATAAATTAAGAGTATACCCACTTCTACAGGCACCACTACACCACTATATATATTCATGTCTAACAGGAGACATGTTAAATCACCTGTAAGCTTTGCTGCTGATATTCACAAGTTGCGTTTACTCTTTCTGTACATTAAGATCCCAGTTCAAAACTGCCGCAATTTCGTGACCTTTAGGAAAGGTCTTTTTGCAGTTCTGCTTGCTCACTGGCTTCTGAAAGACTGAAATATTCATGAATGTTGTGAACAGTGCACAAACTCACTCGTGTCTCTCACAGATTTGCACTGGCATGAGCATCAGCCTTTGGTTTCCATGTTATTTTATGCAGTTTATGATCACGTCCTTTGATTGAAGGACAAAGCAGTCATTTTTTATGTGTTTTCTTCTGTTGAAGTTTATTTGCTTCATTTATGGCCCAGGCAGCTGCTCTTTGTGGTACAGGCTGATTAAACTATAGCTTATTTTGAAATAGTTACATACGACATAATTCGCATTTGCAATGAAATGGGATGCAAGCATACAAAAATGCAGATAAGTAGTTCATTATGTTAATGATCAGCTTATGAACGTGTGTGATTTTTGACAGCAGTATTTATTCTACAGTGCAAATCCAAATCGAGCTTTGAGGTTAAAAACAGAACTCAATCTAATACGCATTGTCCTTTTGTGACTTCAGCTTGATATTACATCTAAATGTGTATTTTGTTCTGTGCAAAGGGTTTTGAACATGTTTGAAAACCTAAATAAATCCACATAAATTTCAAATGGTTTCTCTTTTAGTTCTTAATACCTTTGTGTGTGGCATGAATTTGTTGGTTTTGTTTAGTACATGGATTTCAGATTGCTAGGAGATACACTGATCCACAGCTCCAGACTGATAAAAATGGCTGCAAATTCAGCAAAAAATATGAATTCAAATTATTTGAAATCTAGTGGCACTGCTGAACAGGAAAGCTTTGAAAATGAACGGCTTCTTTTTGTTGAGTCAGTCAAAAAAATTCATGAAACAATCCGTAATCTTGTTTGCTAGTTAGCATTTAAATTGGACACAGTGCGTGAATAATTCAGAGACATTTGGGAGTTCACAATTAACTAGTTATGTTGATTAGAAATAAACAGGAAACTTGCTGTGATATGTTCTAAATCTTTGTGAGATTTAAATCTGTCTATTTTACGAACTGGTTGTTCATGGCGTAATTGGGTGGCATGTTTTTGCCCCCATTGTTTTGCATTTAAAACAAAAAAAACAAAACAAAACAAATCTATTAAACTAAAAAAAAAATAAAAAATAACTGGAAAAAAAAGTCAGTAGTTGAAATAAATATTAGATAAAAATGAGAAACCTTGCCTTGGTAACTAAAATAAATAATTTGAAGTACTAAAATTCAAAAATCAAATGATTATAAATCATTTAAAATCAAAGGAATATTAAATACTACGATAGTATATAGTACATTACATAAGTCACAGAATTTTATATTAAAGGGGTCATATGACGTTGCTAAAAAAGAACATTATTTTGTGTATTTGGTAGTGTTGGGCGATATGGTCATTTTTCAAATCGTCATATCGCCAGTCCGTGAGATCGCCGATAGACGATATTATCGTGCATGGGTGGGTGGGGGCAAGAGAGACACCCTGTACTTGTCATAGGCTATTTCATAACTATTTGGTGTTTTAAACCGCGCGTGCGAAAGAGAGGGAGCCTATGGAAGCACCACAAATCTAAATAATATACTTTCAAACATACTCATAAACTAACATGTTAAATACAAAAATATTTAAAACAGCTAGTTCATATATATTCGGATACAACAGTCATACATCGCTATTAGGACCGCGCGTCCTGTGACAAGTTTGCCGCATCAGAGCACGGAAGTTATCAGTCTGGTCTGCAAAATCAGTCAACGGTGAAAATCAAAAGTAGATTTATTTTAAAGACCAACAGTTTAACACTAAATATTGGACATAAACAAACACGTTAAATATAAAGTATTTAAAACAGGTAAGTTAATATATTTGTAAATTTAAATTAAACAGATACATCAGTCATACAGCGCTCCAGACTGCGCACCCCATGATGAGCCCAACGCACCGCCACAAAAACAAGAATGAGATGCGTTCTAACATAACTGTGGCATTAAACTCAGTTAGTGAGGGCTCGGTTAAAATATTGCACATATATAGGCCGTTCAGATTACTTGGCATCAGCCACAGGCGGTATCTCTGACTATCATCGATACACGATACTATCGGCACAACCCTAGTATTTGGTGTAATGAAATGTGTTTATGTGGTTTAAGGTTCAAACACAACGAGAAACAGCGTCTCCACAACATGGCGGCGGCAGCAACAATACTACAGCAAGAATGAAAGTTACGCCTTCTTTCTTAGCGTGAACATTTGGGCGGTGTTATGCAAATCTTCCCACACAGTGACGTAGACGTGGGGGCGTGTTTAAACGAGGTGTTTTAGGAGGGCGTGGATCTCTTTGGGTTTGAGACTTTAATCTTTGCAACTTTAGGGATCTTATCTATTCACGAACAGCTTGTAACACTCCAAAGAGAAAGGAAAACTTGAAATTGCATCATATGACCCCTTTAAAAACAACTAGTGCAGCACGCTAGTGTCTGTATCAAGTAAATTAATGAACACATTTCTGAACAGCCATCTTTATCGAGTGAGTCTAATTTTTTAGTCTAGCAACTAAAAAAAAAAGCTTGAAAAAGGAGTTATGTGGCTCCTAAACGTTTCCTTTTAGGGGTCAATGGCACTCTTGTCATTTTGTTTGTATAGAGGCCTGAAATTTTAACGAGGAGAAATTCCACTCTTTGTTTTTGAACTGTTGCTGGAAGCAAATATGGATCAGTTTTTCTCTCAACAGATGCAGCGCCCCCATGAGAATCTGGTAACGTGCTCAAAGAAAGCATGGACTTTAAATGTGTATTCACACGAGCATTCGTGATGAGTGTTCGTGATGAGCATTCAAAAATACACTGCAGCCCACTTTCAGTGGCGTAATATTTGCTGGAGCATTCAAAAATACACTGCAGCCCACTTTCAGTGGCGTAATATTTGCTGGAGCGCTGCGTTTAAACTGCAGTATGAATCAGCCGCTCGCTTGCCGGGGAGGATGTCCACATTTAGACCAGGCAAACATGAAGAGGCTTCCCTCTCTGTCTCCTCTGATTCAGCACTAAATGAAAGTCTTCCCCACACTGTGACGTCACCTGCATAGATTAGCAGCTCGTCTCGGGAAAGTGGGTACTGATGGAGTCAAAGTCATACTGAAACTGCTTTAAAAAGTCAAAGGAGCTTTTGAGTCACCATTTACGACGTCTGTCCTTATATATATATATGAGCTGGATGATGCGAGACTGCTTGCGTTGATCCTATTTGGACAGGAAGTTTTGAGGTTTGTCAGTTTAGAACCTGTGACATTTCTTGGCCCGGTAAAATATGCCTCCTTGAAAGTGAAGTGAATAATATGCTTTCACTGGACTGGAGAGCATGGGGCTGAGAGAGGGGAATAGGATCGGCAAAGGACCTCAAGCAGGGAATCACTCTCGGGTTGCCGGAGGCGCAGTTGCACTATATGTTGACATGCTGCCTATGCTATCGGTGCCAGCTGGATCGTTTTTTAAAGGCATCATGACATGAGAAATCAAATTTGCCTTGATCTTTTAGCATATAAGAGGTTTTTGTAACATTAAAACATCCTGCAAGTTTCATAGCTTAAAATGTCCTCCTTATTATAAACAAAGCATTTAATTAAGCTCTAAAAACAGCTAGTTTTGTATCCGAGGGGCAAGGTGGCACCACCTGGACGTAGTCGTTTGCATAAACACTGCCGCCAGAGCAAGACATCGACGAATAGTCTTCTTCTCACCATAGGCCCCGCCCACTGGCGTTCAGCCACTAATGGCTGACACTTGATCATGCTGAATGCGTGTGTCACGTCGCATCAAAAGCAAACAGAAATTACAATCACTGCCGCTATCTTGTCTACACCGGATACAGTATACAGATGTGCGTGATCTTTCTAACACAGTCCACGTGCTTGAGTCTGTCAATAGGACAAATGGAGTGAAAGAACATTCGCTTTGCCCCATTTGGTTTAAATAGCCTTAAAGGGATAGTTCACCCAAAAGAAAATTAGCCCATTATTTACTCACCCTCAAGCTATCCTAGGTGTATATGACTTCCTTCTTTCAGATGAATCCAGTCGGAGTTAAATAAATGTATTTTGATCTTCCAAGCGGTTTAATGGCAGTCAGCGGGTGTTGCAGTTCATCAGTCCAAAAGAAGTGAAATAAAGCGCATCCATCCATAATAAAAAGTGCCTCACATGGCTCCGGGGGGTGAACAAAGGCCTCCTGTAGTGAATCGATGCATTTTTGTAAGAAAAATATCCATATTCAAAATGTAATAATCACTTTAATCTAGCTTGCGCCAATAGTTGTACACGGAAGCAGCTCCGGGAAAAATGACGTAAGATGTCGGCGTTGCGCATGCGCCGGTGAGTCTCGTGAAAACCAATGTTTGTTTACAGGAGCAAAGGAAGCAAAGTATCCTTACTTTAG